ATAGTTTTTAATCATCTGCTCTATAGGAAACGAATTCAATATCGTATATTATGGATTCCGTTCTTTGTTATAAAACTAAAAGCTAGAAAAAGTTAAATAAAAATAAGCATAAAAAAGAGCGTGAAAATGGAAAAGGAAGAAAAATGTAGTGTAAATCTTTGTTCCAATGTACTTTATAATTCTTACCTTGCATTATGGCTACTGGCTGCCGCGCTGCCGATATAATTAAATAAGTTCTTTAATTGTGAAGTATAAAGTATTAATGAATGGAAACAAATGATAGGAAATGTATATGCCTTACATTCGAAGGAAAGACATACATTGAACAATGTAGTAAAGTACCAGTTAAAATGATACGAAATATAGTTAATAATTAAGAATAATTTCTTGTGTTAAGTATGCCTTGCCTTTAATGACATTTTTCATGGTATTCTTAAATTTTACTTCAATCATTCTAATCCATATAACATAACAGAAGTTAATTATATAAATCGTTTTTCTATAATTCACACAACATGATTCGGAAGATTAAAATGGAAGCTGAATGGAATCATTAACAAGAAACAGAAATTAAATTGAAGTGACTAAAGACAGCGGTATTTCAGATATTTTGTCTCAATTCGTTTCTTGCATCATGTATTAAAAATTAATAGATAATTACATATTATAGTGTTGAGTAAAAAAGGTATAAAAATGAACAAAAATTATGTTTGCTACAGAGAAATAAATAATTATAATGATGGAAATATGCATATAGAAAAAGGGGAACGATGTAATTGGGATATAATTCAATAATGATAATACATGACACGGAGTGTCATACCAATGTACATGAAGTAGAGAAAATAGCTAAATAAATGTTACTACTTATTGATGATACTAAAAATGTGTGCCTTAGCTTTCAAGAATAAAGTAAATTAACGATATTTGCTAGTTTAAAGCTTGCAATGTGAACTGATTTTAGCAAAGCATGCATTGATTTGTAAAATATACCGTATAAATCCTGGTCATCATAGTACAATGTAATATTGTACGTAAATGTAATTAGATGTATAACACTATAAATGCGTCTTTAAATTATAAGTTGTTATGCTCCTATTTATAATTTTCGGAAAATACGGTATATGACGAATTATATACTTCAATATGTATATATTTTATACATATCAACGTACATAATTTTAATTTGCATAACAAAATATTGCAAGCAAACTAATGTAACTAACAATATATGATAATCTGCAAACTTTCTTATTGTTTTCTTCTTTTATTGTCAGAAGCATAATTATAAATTTAATGAAACTAATGAAATTAATTTTCGAAAGTATTATGATTAACTAGTAAAGCATATTGCTCTTAAGTGAAGTATACTATGTGTTGAATCAACATCATCATGCAATATAGAATTCATTACTGCAAATCAAAAATTTTTTTCCATACTAAAAGAAGACATATTCGTTCAGTATTTGTTATAAAAGGGAAGATATTCAAGAGTATTAAATGGTTCTGTGAAACTTTCCCTTTCTTTAAAAAGAAAACTTAAACTCAAGTAGTACGTCTTAATGCTTCATATTAAAAAGAGCTATAAAAATACGAATAGCTTAATACTGATGAAACATTTGTCCTTGTATTTATAATGTATTTTCTAAATCAAGTGAGATCAAACTTTTAGATACAAGTATATAAACTAAAATCTATTGTTGCAGTCATGAATGTAATGGACGAACATATAGCACCAGATGTGCAGTTGTTAAAGATTAAATCTATCGTATTATTTTGTTAACTTTGCTGTTTAACTACAAGAACTTATAACAAAATGCAAATAACTTACTTGGCGAAACCAATAAAATCTTCGTGATTCGTATTCATGTACGCAAGTTCACAGTCAACCAAGAGTATCAATTGTTCCTTGCACATCTGCTCTCGTTGTCTAACATAAGTAGTTATAATACGTTCCGTCTCTTCTCTCAATCTAGGGTAACGTGACATCTGTCGTGTGAAATAAATTATGTAAAACGCGTACGTAACTTAGAAGAGTTCGTGAATGACAAAAATTCACCTACCCTATCAGTACAAATGCGTACGACATTACTGAGTTCCTGTACTACTAAATCCACGCATTTGAGACTAGGTTCTTTGAGTCTATTGATTTGTTTCTTGACTATTGCCTCGAAGGCCATATCAGGTGTAAACAAACCTACTCTGATACCTATGACATTACAACATGGTTAATGATTTATTTTTAAAACCATTGCTATAGTTATTTCTGTCATGATGTATAATCAGAATACTGACACTAGGTAACCAGAGAGAATTACATACCATGAATATTTCTAATAGCAAAAGCAATTTCTCTTCTCAATTCTTTCTCATCAAATTCCATTTTAACTATTTCGAATGGGAAACGTTCGTGGAATAATCTGTTTATTTTAGCACCTCCACTGAGCTCCATTGTATTGATTTGTGCTGATCCTGAACCTTCTATAGTTCTTTCGAAATCTGACTGAAGCTGTTGTATCATCCTTAAAAATGTTTTTCTTTCAATCAATGCATAGACAAGCACTAAACTTCAGTATTAGTTGTATGGGCAGAGAGTCATGATATTTAGTACTGTAATGTTGAATATAAATTCTACATAGTTCATTAATGCACGACAGTATTGTTTATTACTGAAAACATTTGTCACACATGTTTCACTTTTTAGTTTGTTAAATAAACATGTATTAAAATTTACATGCAAATAGCACACACATGAAAAAAATATGATACCTACATAAACATTTGAATTGATCTGAAAAATAATAAAAAATTAAAAATGTCAAGACCCTCTACCCATAATGTATCTTAAAGAAGAGCTAATGAAACACAAGTTTTAGTTTTGATACTATGTATCCATTATAAAATGGACAGTTCATTTATGTTATTGTTATACATGCATAATTTTTTTTAATATTTATATCTATATTAAGACAGGACCTGTCGCGATAGAACAATGATTTACGTGTAACAATCTGCATAAAAAAGTACTTACTGCAACATAGCTTTTGTTTTTATGGCAGGATCATCAGGTCTAAAATGTTTATACTGTTCTACATCCTTTTCCAACGTAAGCAATTGTTTCTGTAATCTATCCCTTAATGCTGGTAAAGTATCCCTAATATGATTTGTTAATTGTTGATTCAAAACACGTTGTAAATACGGTGTTCCTAATCTATCTGCCAGGTGCCGGTAAGATGGATGGCTAACATATAATAAAATATTTTTAATTTTTCATTCAGAAATTATTTACAAGTTACTTTCCGTATTATTCATCTATACCTCAGGAAAAATTTTCTTTCTGCTGCCAAAGCATTTTTTATATCTTTCCGACCTTCTATGTCCTTTTGACTTCTATTGACAACGCCTATGTAACCTCGTCTTAACGGCAATAATTTGTTTTCTAAAATATCTCTTGCATCGGTACCTTCGTCCATAAGATCCAATTTTGTAATAACACCAATTGTACGGACACCTTAAGGAATGTGAAAGTATAAAATATTGTTATTAACTAGCTGTAGCTTTTAACTACATATTAAACAACTATAAATATATACCCTGCTGATCTACTTCTTTAGCAAGTTTAAGAGCATCACTGTTTGCTAAATCTGTATTTGCTGGAGTTACTGCCAGTATAAGACAGTTCTCCCTTTTGATAAACTGGAAGATCATAGCTTTAATTTGAGCTTCTATATCCGCTGGCTGATCTCCAATTGGTACTTTTGTGAGGCCAGGTAAATCAATCAATGTTAAATTCAGAACTAGGAGCAACAAATATTAACGTTAATCAAAATATTAATACATTCCAAACTAAAGCATGATAAGAATGTGTATTTACCATTAGGGGAATAAACTCTTAAATTTATTGGTATATTAGAAATACCCTTATTACTCCCTGTAATTCTATCTGTTTCTGCTTCGATTTCCTTTCGTACTTCATCAAAATCCACAAATTTTTTACCTTTGCAATGTAGAAACTCAGCAAATTCTATAAGGATTAAATATTTTATTTAATAATTTATGAAAATGGTCCCCTTTTAGATCAAATTTCGAGGTAATACATTACTATAATATCTTTAATTGCTAGACTCTCGTATTATAGCGCAACTAAGTGTTTCACTCAATTTCAGCTTATCAAAAGTTCATCGTTTACAGGAAATGTGATAAGTCTATAGACGACAAAATTAAGATGACATACTAACTTCACATGGCAATCCAAGCTTTGTGAAAAATACTAAGTCGATAGAACTTTTAATTTAAAATACTATATTACAAGATAAGATACCAATATACTAAATTGTATTATATTAATTAATATGTTTCATAGAACTAGCCGCTAAAGAAATGTTTGTTTTAATCTGGAAATTTCAGTTCGATTTCTGATATTTTCGCAGTATATTTATCTATGATTACTCACCAGTTGTACTATTAATCAGTTGCAAGATAAGTGGTCTTCTGGTCACAATACCTGATCCTCTAGGTAGGAAGTCTCTGAAAAGAACAAAAATACATTGCAGTTATTTAACTGTGCAATGAAACTATGGATAAGCAAGGTATAATATGACTTTCAATATACATATACATACTGTATATATATTTATTAATTGAACATATTAAACTATTTATTATCTTTATCATAGAAGTTCATTGTAATTATCCTTCTAAAATAGTAATTATATACATGTACATAATAAGTTTGCGAGTAACATCTTAAGTCTGTCACATATACTCATATATTAGTACTTGTAAAATTAATATGTCTAAGAAACTGATTAAAATTCCTCTTGATAAATGTTTCATCAAAGAGGCTAATTCAATAAGTAATAAAACTAAACGATCTAAAGTGCGAACAATTAAATGAATAATTCTGTTAGTTGCATGCGTACTTTGGTCAATTCAGTAGAAGGTTAAATATTTTAAGCAACGGGAAAGAATAACCGTTTGACAGGTCGCTGTGTAGGCGGCCTCAAATCATGAAGATATAGTTGATTTCGATGTAACGATCAATAGATTAAAATAGTTAACCTAAAGTGGTATAGAAACGAGCAACAGTCAAATTAAAATAAATGATGACGGATATTAAAATTATAACGTGGCGCAGCTCGCCACGCCTTTAAGCGTTTGAATATCTGTCTGTCTACGATTAGTAACCGACTAAGATAGGAGAAGTGTTATAATGACATAAGTCGGAATACTTACTTCCCAACAAAATTCTCAAGTACGGAACTTTTTCCAGCACTCTGGCCACCCACCACTGCTATTTGTGGTAGATCAAGTTGCATGTGCACCCCGAGTTGTGTGAACGCATCCTGCAGCTTGTTCACGATCGGGATTAATTGTTCCATACCCGTGTTCCCTGCCATTTTGTTGAGGTTGTTTCTTCACTTCTGCCCAAGAACACAATCGTTTCAAGTTTTCACGGCTGTGTCCTATGGGCGACACCGAGTTATCACCACTTCCACGGACAACCGTCAAGGGTAGCTGTTAGAAGTGATCCTATTCGTTTTCCTCGAAAAGTGCACTACCAAAATGGCCGATTTCGCGACGACACGATGCTGTACGAATCAAATTTCACCGCATTTTTCCGATACTCGCGATCGTGCACCGATCACAAACGAAAGCTGTCAGGCATTTGATCTACTGCAAGAGAAAGCCACAGCGCGACAATCTACGGTCGTTGCGTTCACATAAATGAGATCCAGCGTACGGAACTCGACACTCGACTCGACGCATGTAACGTTTTCAATCGATAATCGAAGCATGCGCACAGCCGGTTTTGTTGTGACCCACTTTTCATCGCGAGATAAAATCCATATCGTCCTCTTGCCGCTGACCTTTTTTCATGTATCACAGTAATTTGCCAGGTGAAGGAAGTTAGGACTATATATTTCGTCGTTCGTCGATCCTGTCATGATAAACACACAGTTTCTCTTGAATCCTGGATCTGCTCATTATTTGATTTTAAATATTACGCGGCGAATACTTTTATTGGCGCCGAACATTTATAATCGTTAAAAAAATAGACAGCAACCAATAGGAATCCAACGTTCTGCCTCCTTTATTATTATTACTTTTATTATATTCGTATGAGATCAATCATGAATATCATCAGTGAATATCACTCATTCATCAAATATCATCATTAGACGTATTAATTAATCTTTAATATATATATATATATTGATACATTATACAAATTGTAATATCCCCAACAGCACTCAACATTACAACAACGTTGCAATAATATTGTGCTGCAAGATCGCAATATTTCAAATAGTGTTGCTGCAACATTACTACAATGTCTCTAGTCTCGTCATATAATATTGCAGGCAATAGTGCAAACGAATTTCAAGCATATTTCTATTTTTCATAGTAATATAGTTTAAAGCCAATAAAATTCACATATTGGAGGAAGCAAATCTGATTCTCTTCAAACTTGCCTCGCATTGGTTTAAATTAGATTCGCGTCTAACGCGATTGAACGCGATGAACAATTCCTCGTTGAGCAGGGTTTGTGTATAAAATGAATAAAGATCGAAAGTTTGATTTAAACTGATTCGTTAAAAGTAGCTCTTAAAAATATAAATTAATTACAAATCTAGTGCACACGTATGTATGTACATATGTAAGTGAGGGCGCAAATAGTATTTTCCTGCGATACGAGTCCAAAATGTCAGACATTGATAAATGGATGGAAATTGCAAAAGAATGCAAATATCTCCCCGAAAATGACCTCAAGGTAAAGAAAATATGCAGGGTATTATTTGTTTTGACATCAATTGGATTACATCATGTTAATCTTGTTACATGAGAAATGTGTAATCTCATAGGTTACTTGCAACGGTTACTATTCCTCTTAATACTAATGAAATCAATTTTATTTTAGAAACTTTGTGACATTGTATGTGACATATTATTGGAAGAATCAAATATCCAACCTGTATCCACTCCGGTAACGGTATGTGGAGATATTCATGGTCAGGTAAGTTTTATAGTTATGTTCTAACCTCTGTCCATTCGAGATAAGAATGTCCATTCTGATAAGTGAAGTATGTTCATTAGCAATTTATTTAATTTATTATAGTTTTACGATCTAGAAGAATTATTTCGTAATGGAGGCGCCGTGCCTGAAACAAATTATATATTCATGGGAGATTTTGTAGATAGGGGATATTACAGCGTCGAAACATTTACACGCCTACTTACACTTAAAGCAAAGTGGTCTGATAGAATAACATTGCTTAGAGGAAATCATGAATCGAGACAAATTACTCATGTTTATGGTTTTTATGGTGAGAGAATATTTCATTCTGAATTCATTACATATTAATAATATCTTATTGTATTTGATTGTTTATTATGTCCAATGCAGATGAATGTCAAAATAAATATGGCAATGCTAATGCATGGAAATATTGCTGTAAAGTGTTCGACTTACTAGCAGTTGCTGCCGTTAGTATTAAAAAATAATAAATGAAGTTACTGCGTATGTGAATTAATATGATTAATAATAAACTATACATTTTTTTATTTAGTTAATCGACGACCAAGTACTTTGTGTACATGGTGGGTTATCTCCAGCCATTAGGACACTAGATCAAATTAGGATGATTGAACGAAATCAAGAAATTCCACACAAAGGTATTATCAAGGCTTTATAAAATTGTAATATGTCATTGTTTTTATTTAATTTTTTATTTCAGGTGCTTTTTGTGATTTGGTTTGGTCCGATCCAGAAGATGTTGAGTCATGGACTATTAGTCCACGTGGAGCAGGTTGGCTATTTGGGAGTAAAGTAACATATGAATTTATGGAAATCAACGATCTTAAACTTATTTGTAGAGCTCACCAATTAGTTCACGAAGGTATGTACTATTGTAAAATGTTCAGGTAGAATTTTATGTAATAATATTTTACATACGTTTGATTCTTTACAGGGTACAGATACATGTTTAATGATGCACTTGTGACAGTATGGTCAGCTCCAAATTATTGTTACCGTTGCGGTAACGTAGCTAGTATTTTGCAGTTCACAACTGTCGATCAAAGAAAACCAGTACTGTTCCAGGCAGTGCCTGACTCTGAAAGAGTAATTCCACCTCTAACTATTACACCATACTTCTTGTGATTTAACCTAGTTCTCCATTTGTTTGGATGCAGACAGGTGGTATCTGCGTCTAGACTTTACGGAATTACATGACTGTTTCTTCATGTTGACGGACACAGGCTGATACTTTGACGGAGTATAAAATTTTCGGAAGTATATCAAAGGATTATATATTAATCAGACTTTTAATTTTTTAAACGTGTTCTTTTATGTTTTTATGAAGATGTATTATTTATAAAACAACGTGTGATTGCCTACTTAGGAGATGTCTGCACGCGATTTTTTTTTTTAGAAAATTTGTCACTATTTGTATTTTAAGCATTTAACTTTTATACGTAATACGTCTGCCATTACATCAGCCTGATTTTTTTTTAAAAAAAGAATTCGCATTGAAATAAATGTGATCACTCTATGGTCTAGACGCTTTTGCTGTCTACTGTGTACATTCTGTAAAGCATTCGCATCTCAGAGGAGAATTGTGGATGTATCGTTCGAAAAGCTAAAAGCTTTTAACTAAAGCACGAACGTGAACAACAAATGGTGTACGAATGAATAAATGGAAAAGAAGGAAAGGACATTTAAACATTCCTGAATAGCAGTCTCTGAGTATGTTGAATGCTTATTGATATTATGATCGTTGCGCATAGAATTCAGGTTTATTAAAGCGTGAGCATATTGTATACTACTGTTAAGGTCTTCCTGAGTATATAATTGATCTATTTCTGGTTTAGATACTGTGTGCTGCGTGCAATTCTCTTTTTTATTCTAGTTGAGCAAATCAGTGTTCTTAGCAGCATAAATTCGGCGATTCTGCCGAAGTACAAATAGTATGTAGCAGTAGCCAAAGTTTTTCTGCGTAGATAAGGAAATTGAATAGAAAAGCTGTATTATATAATAGAAGTTTTGTTATTAATTTTTATTCACATGACAATGTTATATTTTGTTTTTCTTTCCTCTTTTATTATGAGCTTAATATTAACTTCTGCAACATATCTGTAAAGCATTAAAAAATTTTTCGTACTGTCGGCCTTCTCAGCCACATTTCACATTTTTGTGTACAGGGCAACAGTTTTGAATGTTATATTATATTTTCAGAATCTTTATACATTGTATGCCAAATCGCTGTCGTACTGAATAATTATAATAGCTAGATCGCCATAAGTTCATTAATGTAGGGAGCAACTTTTAACAATCAATACCCTTAGTAATGTGCCTCTAAATTAATAAGCGTTTGTGTAATATAATGATACGGTATTAATACATAATTAAAGGAACGCACCGGCCATTGCGTATCATAAGCCTGAATTCTGACCATCGATTTTGCTAGCTCATGATATTCCTAATCGATCACAGACCCGACGAATATGGCATTGGCACTGGCTGTCAAGTTGAAGCTACTCTATTTTGAGTTTTGTGATATAGTTCAAGCGAGGCATGTGAAAATTGCGTCGACGTTTGTAACGATTTTCCATGTCGGATCGTTTGAAAATGTTTTGAAGACTTGTTATTTAAAAGAAAAAAAATGTTCAACTTTAGAACAGTGCCTTCGGAATTATAACACGACGGTCTATCAGAAGTGAATACTTTCTACTGACGGATAATCATAGACGAACTAGGACAGATCATATAAATAACAGAGAGCTTAATAAGAAAGCGTGAGAGAAATTCTTTTCACTTTTTTATATTCCAAGAATATAATAATTCCTTTATCAGATTTCGATCTCCATTATTATGTCCTAAGCTATTTCGACGTCCATTTCGATGATTGCTTTACATGATACTTTTTACATTTTACAATATTAATAAAAAATACAATTTATATATTATATATAAATATGTCTTTGTATTAATTATATAAATATATTTGCTTTGTATTTACATTATCAACATTATAATAGATAGTTCGTTATATACAGGGCAAGACACGGAGTTTACGTTACAAACTCGACTTGTCGGTTTTGCAGCCTCTAATTATCGTAAAAAAAGGCGGTGATGCGCGAGAATGCCTATGTAGTGCGGATATTTTAGAAATCGTAAAAGTATTAGCCTCTGTGTCTACTTAGGTATTCGCAGCAGTCACCATTGAAATGCCTCTGTCTGTGATCGCTTTAATCTTATCGAAGTGTCCAAGCGCTTGTGATAATTTACATCGGTAAGCTCACAGGATTAAAGACAATGACATTAAAATAATGAAACTAAGTTAGCTTAATAAATTATTCTGTGCAGGAGCTTGAACACTGCGCATAATTCTTAAAGATCTCACAGGTAGACAACATTTTAACGATCGTGTACCTTGAAAGTATAGATTTTGTTATGTTAATGTAATGAAACGTCTGTAATAAAAATGCGCAAAAATTGCAAATGACATTATCAATAATACTCCCGTTATTATTGTGATAAATGAAGAGTACAAATTATAAATATATATACAAATATATACATATATACAGGCAATATACATATATGTACATACGCGTATATATATTGCGAGGTATTACAAGAAAAAGAACTATCAGTTGTAGGTATGGGTGTGGAACAATAAAGATTACGTCAAATCTGTTCATCTTTAATTAGTTTATTTACTTGTAATAATATTATTTTCATCGTATATATATAATAATTCTATTTACTCCTTACTATTTATATATAATAATATAGTGTATTTATGTTCAGTATGTATAATATATTATCTACATTTATAATCCCTATGAAAGGCATCTCCAAACAGACTTCAGATTTACTTTTTTTTTTAAAATATCTTATTTATTCATAAAAATACAGGGGGTTTACGCGCCATTTGTGAAGTCCAGCCTGTTTTGCCCGGAACCGATAGCTTCCGATTTATTGGTCGGATGAACAACATTATATTATATCTTACAATCTTTAATTCCTTGCAATAACAACGAATTTATTATTATAATTCTTTTCAACATCATTTATATACACGGCTTTATGCAAACAAATTTGACTATTTTTCTGCTGATTACAATAGAATCGCGTTCATGTTTTACTCCTCGTTGTATTCTATTTCGTGATCACATTACTTAATAATTTATTTGTCGTACGAACGGAAACGATCAAAGGTTAAACGATTTCGAAAATCTATTATACGTAGAGCGAAATGCAATGAAAATGCAACGGATAAGCTCGACGAATACTTTCAATGAAATCGTTTATTAACAACTGGAAATAAATTAAAACTAAAATATAAATTTTTATACGATAAATGTATAATAGACGCGTTCTCTTTTTTACCGACTAGAGTATTTGGTTTAATTTGCTTAGCATGCATAATTGTTGAAACAATTTGCAAAAAGAGAAACTGGGAACAGCAAGAGTTTTAATATAAACTGCACTACTTTCGTTACATAAAAAAATATAATAAAATATCTAAGTACAACATCTATAAACGATTCATCAAAACATTATAAAATATATAAAATGTGCGAAACGATATTTCAGTAATTTCTTATGAAATAATAAAGGAGCAAATACACGCTCAGTATAAAGCTCGAAATCATAGAAGAAAATGACCGTCGAACGTAAAAGAATTGAAAACTTTATTCGAGGAACGAGATATCGTATATTTCGCGTGCAAAAAAATTGACGAAAGAACAATTAGTAATTAGCAGCGATTGTTGCATCCGGTTCCCGGCAGAGCGGCGATTCACACGGCGCCCAAATCTCAATTACAAAAGGAATATAGTTGAAGGTAAATGAGACGATAAAAATGTACTTCCTAAACGTAGGTAGAAATTGGTAACTTTGACTCACTCATTGAAAAAGTATTTCCTCTTGCCAATCCGGCATTCGTGGTTTTCTTTCTGCCCGTCGTTTTTGGGTTAACGTTTGTTTACATCACGCGGTTCTTCGTCTATACCGTGACAAGCAGCATGCTTCAGTGTGAACCGAACTGTTTGAAATGATAGTGCGTGCTCCAACTGTCAGAAAGTGTTTCTAATGTTTTAACAAGACAATTAACAATTGTACTGTGGTTTCGGTGTTCATCCTGATGACCATGAATCGAAGTAGACGTCTCGGTAATCTTTAAACAGTATTCTATATTACATGTATGTATTTACAAAAATTATTTGGAACGCTGCGCTGTATTCACATTCGGTAACGTTGATGTTGCTTACAACTCGAACGAATGAAGTGACTCAAACTTTACATGTATGACTTCAAACTGATAGTTCTGCGATTATTAGTAGGTATTTGAAAACTGAACGCAATTTTAAAATGCGTCGTATCATCAATGAAATCGAAGCCGAAAAGAAATGGTGAAACAATGATAAAGTTTCTGATCTTTCGCTACGTAAATTTCAAATGGTGAATGTATGTTGCGTATAATTTGGCTCATACTTCTTCTTACAACCGATTCGTGATTAGAAAGACTGCTGCGCCGCTTGACACTATATAAGAGCAGGTATTACACGGAATTATACAAAGAGACAGGACTAGTACTTTCAACGTAGTTATTATTAAACCTTTCGTACAATATGTACAAAGTTAAACCCACAAACGAGAGGCTTATGTTTTTTTTATATCCTTAAATTTTATCTTTTTTTCATTTTACTTTTGCTCAAATAGACTCTCACTCGCACTTAAATATTAAAGGTTGGGCATAATAATACTCGCGGTAGTATAATGCCCTAAGTCTTGCTGATCCAACGTGTAGCTCTCCCGTAAGCAGTTACTGTACTCCCAGACATCGCTGCACATTTCATTTTATACAATATACATATTTATATATTTATATATATATTTACTTATATATATAATGTAATATAAAGACAGTCCAACTCGGTGCTATCTCCTTCTGTCGCGGGCGTTTCGTTTTCCTCGTCGATTGTTGTTTGCAGTCAACACTGTAACTTTTGTATATGTACAAGCTAACAATAAATAGGAGGCAACAAGAAAAAGAGTTTTCCGCGTGAACTAGGTGTATAACGTTTACGAGCTACGAAAATAAGAAAGGGAAAAGAATATAGCGAATGAAAAATAATTAGGGGTTGTAGATAGGAATGCAAAGAAGGTAGCAAAGATGGAGGAACAAGTACAAAAATGTTTAAAAGACAGAAAGAGGAGAGACAAAGGAACAAACACGGCGGACTAAATGCTAAGATAACATTGCTTCCCCTTTCCGTGTTTCGTAGAAACGATAATTTTAAATTAAATTTTTCCGTGCAAAAATAACATCCGATATGAACATGAACAAAAAATCCTACAGTTTATCTCCGACGATGATTGTAATAATGCATTTAGGAAATTCATTGACCAATACTATCGAGTACTCTCTGCTCGTAACTTAGCGAGGTTCTTTCCTTTTTTTTCTTCTTCGTCATCGTAGTTCTTTCTTTCTCGCGGGTGCGACCTCATCGACCGTCCAATTGAACACAGAGACAAGTGTACGATGATATCCTGGGAATACAGGAACCGTTACCCCCAATATTCTTAACCGCAAATAATATACATTGTTTACCGTATGAAGTATCCCATCGTTAGTTAAGTCTTATAGTATGGACAAGTATCCTTAGGCTAATAGGCCCAAGGTCTGTGTGTATAGTTCTCGTGTCGATTCATTTCGTACGCGCGCTCGCGACCACGAGTTCGACGAATTCAAGTCCTGATGCGATAAAAAATAATAAGATGCGTTGTCGAGGGGTAAAAAAAAAATACTTCACGGAACGGAACTTCGGACTTCCGCTTGGACAACGATTTAAAAAAGATGTTAAAGGCAGTTAAGAAGACGCACATAAGAGTGAGTGCGGGGTACTAATTGTAAAGGAGATAAATGCAACAAAACCGAAGATATCCAAAGACACGACGCGGATCCTCGGGATCAGAAGTATTTGATTCGATTTCATCGTGCTCGTGATCGTATGCGTATCGGTAATTAGCGCGTATTTACGATAACTTCTATGGAGGCAAGATGAAACGATCACGTTGCGACAGAACGTGCGCTGGTTCAACCGTTACATGCGTATACAAGGAGCATTTTTCATTATTCTTCTCCTTTTTGCTTTTCAAGACACGTACAAGATGTTCCTAACTGGCTTCAGCCACCGGTTTTTGCTATTTTTCGTTACTATTCGTTTTGTTCATTTCTTTACTAATGGGCTTCGCGCGCTTCCTACTTCTATCTTTCTTTCTCTATTTTAAATAATTGAGCCAATCCCAAGAACCTGGTATTTCCGTGTCGCAAAGAAACCGAAATATCACATATATTCGCGATACATAGTACACGTACGCATATACATCTACGCATGCTAAAACGGGAACAGCACCGTGTAAGTTAGTTAAAAAATTACATGAGAGAACAAAATTCCCCGAACTTTCGTTATCTTTTTTTTGTTACTTTTTTTTTCTTTGTCACGAATATAAGTTTCTTCGCAAGAGAGAAATACCAAATTTCCCGCTGTTCGTATTTCTTTCTTTCATTCGTTTACGCGTTTCATCATTCTTTTTTCTTTCTTTTTTGTTTTCTTATATATAATACTATGAAATTATCGCAGTCGTTTCAAAGAGGAATCATAAAAAAGAATCTTTCGTCGCGGATCAATGGTGAACACCTGGTAACGAGAAACGAAGCGCTCGAACAAGCTAATCCCCGTCGTACGATCTCTCCATTGAAAAGATATCACATCGATCCAGACAGGCGATGAATTCAATTATAGAACTGTATAAAAAACATTTAAAAAGTTTTACTTACGTCGAAAATCAGCAACGTGTTCGTTACAAAAATCTTGCAAATATTCGCGTGTCATCAAAGCGAACCTCATTCGACAAATTTTGTGATAATGTCTTTCCGTTTGAGAAACCGATCAACCGAATCGAGTACGATTTATTATGCATACGCGCGGCATTTGTTTTCGTAAGCTCTTGTAAACGCGTAATACTTACGTCTAACGTACGCGTGATTCGAAAAGGCGACGAGGATCAGATCGTTCGACCGACGATTAAAATAGTGGTTACGAACAAGGACATCTTCGACCGGTGAATGATGTACGTTGTTGAAGATATTAAGTTGATGGTGATAAAATGTACATTAACAAAACGGTGAATATATATTATGTATATACGTATATATAATATAGTCTTCTGTGTTGCGCGCTTGGACCATGATTTGGAGTGGCTGATGACGATGAGGACGACAATAACAACGAGGACCATTACGAATCGACAAATCAAATGCTAACCAGATTTTCATTTGCGTGTGTATCTTCGATATCCGGAATTGTTTTTCTCTCGTACGATGGCAGGAAATCGTCAAGCGCTGCTTCTAGATAGGTTTCTGTGCATACATGTAATTCCTCTTCGTCTTACTTAACGATTAGACGAACTTTTCCAATTGTTCCATTGTTTTCCAAATTTCCGGGTTTAGTAATGTCGACGTTTTTCTGGTGGTAAAATCGACTCGATGATCGGTGTTCCGTATCTTCTCTTAGTTATTAGAATGGTAACTGAAATATATCACACTTAGGTTCGTAGTTCGGAAACGACCGGTTAACTGATTTAGGGTAGAATCATGTAGACACATCGACAAGTGCTTTCATTTTTTATACGTTTAGACTTATTCGGTTATAGTGAGAATGCGTTATCAATCCGTTTCTGATATTATACTTATGATATAGTTTATCGTGGGTTGTAAAGATACGTAGGAAAGCGGTCGTCGACTCATTTTGGGTTTAGAACGTTGGCGACGCGTCATCATCATCATCATCATTATTATTATCGTCATCATCGTTGTAATGCGGGCGTTTATCATTGTTATCGTCGATATTATTATGATCACCATTATCATCAACGTCGGTCGATTAATCTTTCGGTCGTTTTGGTAGTCTGCTATATAGTTTCGATAGTGATGGAGAGTAGTGGTAAATAGTAGCAGTAGTAGTAGCAGTAGTAGTAATAGGTGGTAGTAGGTGGCCTACAGTGAGCGTACGTAACGAGAGTCTTATTATCGATCGGATTATGCAACGTGAACACACAATGACGTAGTTGCGCGATACTGCGTACAGAAATATATTATTATAGTCTTTTAGTTTCGATAAAAAAGTTCAGTTCCCTCCTCGATTGATTTTCCATCTTCGAGGTGGCGCGCTATCTTTCTCTCTGTTTCATTCTTTCTCTCTTTCTCTCCCGCTCTCTCACTCTCTCTCTCTCTCTCCATACTCTCTCATTAATTTTCTTCTGTTTTTTCTTATTTCTTATCTAAAGCATTCTCTCTCTCTCTTTTTTCCTCCTTGTTTCAGTAGGTATTCTGTTCTCGCAGTCTCCATTTTCCGAATCTTCTCGGGTTTCTTTCTAGTAGTTTTCGTTTTTTGCTCTCTCGTTCGTTATTTTCTCGCTCTTGTCTGTTTTATCACGCTATTCACAGGTTCCAAGTTCCTCTCTCGATCCTCTTTGCTTCTTTTTTTTGTACAACGCAACGAACGCACACATTTATATTATTTATATTATTTATATGAATATATATATACTTTTTTATATAATTATGATACATACGCAAACAAAGCCTTTCTCTTTTTTTCGCACGAGTCTTTCCAATTTTCTTGTTTGCTTTCGCCTGTTTTGTTCGATTTCTATTCTCATCTCATATATACATATATATACTCGTGTAAACTTTCATACATATATATGTGTATGTATATTTGTATGTATAGTTTTTATGTAGGTATTCAGCTTCGTTTATCGTCAGTTTGTTTTTTATTTACTATCTTTGAATTGTTGAGTTCAAGAGGAAAGGAACGTAGAACATTTTACTCTCAAGTAGAAGAGCTGCCGCCGATTGTACCTGGAATTCAGGAAGAAAACAGGATCGACTTAGATCGAACGGGTCTAACTCTCCCATAAACGGTTCCACGAGTATTCACGGTTGATTTTTTAATCAGACAATAACTTCTTTTCTTTTTCTAATATCAACACAAAACCTAACGTTTGTATTTCTAATTCTCTTTTCTATTTACGTGGTTTACCGTATATTACGTTCGCGTTTGTTTAAATGTATTGAACCGTTAACGCGGGAAATGAATGAATTGATATTTCTTTATTGTCGAACTTACTTCGGGTAACCTGACGAGAAGATCGTGAAATCGATTCGGCTGTTGAGGCGCGCTGTGCTCGACAAAACTTCGCAGACAGCTCATGTACCGTTCTTGTAGCTCCATTGTATACTCCATCGTACCTCCGCGTGCTAAGAGGGGGCAGATACAAGAGAAATGATCGTGAATCGGTACCGGGAACAATTTTAATACGCTTACGCTTTAAGTTAGATGCTCTAATTTTGTTCCTGCTCTAATGTTCGTTCGTTTCGAAGAAGACAACATACAACGACAACGTTACATCGCCCGTAATTATTCGATGCGACAGAAACTTGTAGATCGTCGCTTGTAATCAGAATCATTATATGGCAAAGCGAATCGAGATTATGTTTTGAGATCATTCGAGTAACTACGAGCCATATTCTACGTTAACATTCTACACGCGAGACTTACATTTTGCTTCGCCAATTGCAGCATTAGCAAAAAGGATGCATTTCTTTATATCTTAAGTATCTCAATTTGGTTAGATAGAAACTTAAAACACACGTTCTAATCGTGCGCTATTGCTCTATCGGGATATCGTGAAGATACTTACCTTGCGAGAGCATGGTGATTACTTTCAGACAGACGTACTCCTCCATCCGTAATCTCACCCTCCTGAACATTAACGTGACATACGTAATTTTTTCCACCATGAGCCCTACGTCTTGTTGCAATTGGTCCATGGTTATCGGTCGGCCCATCATGTTCGTTAGGCACGTTTGCAACGTATACATGTTGTTCGAAACCTGTGCATAAGTGTCTTCATTTAATCCGAAATAATGCGATATTAGTAGAAAGAAACTCTTCAGTTTGCATTATTAAACATGCACTTCTTGAATTAAATGTCTATTATAATCTTAAGAATCCTACTTATTTAATATTGACAAAAATGTATGTCACTCTTCGAGAATAGCGCGGTGAACGGAGAACAGTTTAAAGGAGAAGAAGTTTGAAATGAATAATTTACTTCTTGCATAAAATCCGCCCCCATTACATCGCCGGTGACGTTGGTGAATTTGTGTTGACCATGTATCGCCTGATAGGCGGAGGTAGTCAGCACCAGGATCTCGTGCCACTTGTGGGTGAGCAACGTCGTGTGAACTTCGACTGGTAGCTCAAGGTAAAACGGTAACCTTTTGGTCCACTGCACCAACTTGTACACTATGCTGTCTCCTATTTGACACAGCTTGTCGCTTAGGTTTGATTTATGGTCCAGCAGCTCGTCCAAGTTCTACAATGTCATATAAAAGTAGCGCGCATGATAAGGAGCCTCGTTCAAATTTCGAAATTTTATTCATTCTTCTCGCGTAAATGATACGCGATAAAATAGCAGTACTTTTAGTTCAAAAGGAAATCTAAATATGAAATGTAGTAACGTACCCTTAACGTGGCGATATCTTGGAACTCGTCGCAGTCTATGAGGGACTGGATCATGGCGACGGTCGCGTCGAAAGGAAAAGATCGATCCCTCGAACTGCTCACTGTGTTGTCTAGCCTCTGCCTCAAGTGTACCACCTAAAACCAAATAGATTCGTTCGTGCAATAATCAGAATGTTTTCGAGACGCCTGTTCTGTTTCTCTAAAGAATATGTATAGGATTTATCGTAACATGTATTGCAGACAATATTGTCATACACATTTTGTGTGTCTAAAATTCTTAGAAGTATATCAGTATTCGTAGTCTAATAAATGTGGTTTATCAATGGGACAATTGCGGGATCGTGCTTCCTACGCAAATCCGATCCGGCCTTTCACTGACCTTTCGGACCTCGAGGTACTTCCTCGAGGTCGGTATTTGCGGACTGTATACGCGAACAGGGAGAGTGGCCTTGGGTCTGCATCGGGGATACCTACGGGGAAAGCTGCGATCCTCCATTCGGGTACCATCAAGATACGTGCACACCGAGGCGTAGACGTTTCTCACTGAAAGCTTTATTTATTCGAAAGCTCGCTTCTCATGGAGTTGGAGGAGCGGAGACTAAATTTTAATTGGATAGCGATTAAAGACTCTGGATTAACTTGTGCACGAGAAAGAACAAATTTCTTTAATTACTTACTCGATTTATTGCTCGAATCGGATTTAAATAAGATTGCGTTCTCTAATCTCAAGTTTTACGTGAAAATTTATTTATCCAGAGCTTTATTCTACGGCAGAGTCTAACCGCGATGTCGATAGGGGGAGGGGGGAAGGTGTTGGAGGAGGAAGAGAAGGAGGTAGGGTGAGGTCAGTGTCCCTTGTACAGACTTTCACGAGTTACGAAACCGCCGGAGAACTGCCCGTCCTTGGCACCGGCTGTCGCTGATTTTCTATTGTCCCTCTACCTCCCGAGTCCACGTCATCGCCGTGTTTCACTCGAATGTCGCGACAACGCGATGTCGGTAAAGAGTGACGCCTTTTTCGATGCTCGGACTATCCTTATCGCGTGTCACGAATTTTGCTTCTTTCTGCGTCCACTTAATTATTTAATCGTGCGTCACTGAATCGACAGCATCGAATAGATCTCGTTAACTATTCATTTATTATCGTTGTTATAAAGAGACATAGGTACTCACAGTTGGACGTTTTTAACAATTTTAATTGTTTTCAACAATAGAGGAAATTGTTTTCACCGAATTGAAACGAGTAGTTTCGATCGTGCAGTCGCACACTTTTGGTGTATCAATTTCTAAAAAGAGCTCGAGCTCACGAATGTCACAGATAATAGTGTTTTAGCCACGATTGTATTGTTCGACGAGGATTCTCGTCGAGAGGAAATCTCAATCCGGATCCTCCTGCACTTTGAAACTCCTTTAGTCCCTCTTTCTCGCGATAGTGAGGGGATACTTTTGAAGCGGGTATAAGTACTGCATAGTGGCGAGCGTGCAAACCAATTCGCTCGGAGATGGAAAGTGACCTCCTTAATGACGCCCCGATCCACGGGGCCAGTACTTATGCGGTATCGCGGGAGTCATCGATTTCACTTTTGACAATGGCCTCTACCTGTCTGTTCCCGGTAATTCTTGTCGTTGCTCGCATACCTCACGTGCATGGCAAACGTAAACGTATCGACGTTCCCGATTTCTGTCGCATAATCTATCGCACATGCGTTTCCCCATGCGTTAGTTTCCAATTAGAATGCGATGCGATTCTTTTGACTTTGACATTGTTTCGACCGTGCATGAAAAACGTAGATAAAATTAACGTCACGTCGAGAAAATTGAATCTTTGCCGATGAATCTGAATCATACTCTGGTCTATGATATTCGATTTTCTTTACGGTCGTATGAAATACGGTGTATAGTCATTATCGAACTCTAAAAAGAGAGAACACTTTCATGATGTAACAGATAATACTTTGTTTAGACGAGCGCGAAAAACCATGTAAGATAATGACGCGGTGGGACGAGCGGACAGCTCTCGCAGAGCCGCTTGCTCGTTGTACCTATCGGCTTTCGTAATGTGGGAAACCTTGAGACTTGCGCAAGCCGAGTCGTAAGAAAGTGAAATTGCATTGGAGAGTTCATTCATTTTAGGATCATTCTGTTCGAAAGCGATTGAAATCCATCGAATTCGATCATTGCTCATTGTACCTACGAATGTTCATTCAAACCTGTGCATTGTCCGTTTATTTAAAGGATTACAACGTGAATCATTACAATTTTCTATATCATTGTATTTCTCAGAATTCTTCCTAATTTATTGCTTTCTTTTTCTTGCATTATACTCGTGGGATTAATGAATGCATCACCCGCCCAGTGTTCTTAATCGGATTCAGCCGCGTGACGTTTCTCTAGTCTGGGAACGCGGCCATAACTGTTTGCGATGATTTTGTAATCGTTGATATATCCATTTCCTGTATGACTTCGGTCTAAGCCCAGAGGTCATGTAATTCATCGAGCTCCAGAACTATTCACCGCACAGTGTTTGAATTTCAAATGATTATTCCTAAACGCCCCTCGAGATCTCAAAGTTCGTAATATGATATCGATCGTTTAATTTCAATTCAACTGATGATGTTATTCTCGACATATGTATCTGGGAATGAGCTTGTTTGATCAACGAGATATCGAATTCCCACAATTTATGAAATTATCGTTTCGGGCGGAATGATATGATTGTGAAAATCGACCGTTACGTAAATTTCAATTAGTAACTTCATATTACAAATATCATTATATATATTTCACCTGCATACGATTTCATCGGTGATCGAGAACAGCATCGCGAGTGAGACGGAACGGAGTCCGTGCTCACGAGAAAAATCTCGTCCGAACATGTGATCCGATCGCGTGCAGCTGCGGTGCATTAAGAGTGAAAGTGAAGATACCTTCGGGACGTTCTCATCAGCAGCGCATTCTCCCTACGCGAGGATCAACTTTTGTCGACCCGCGCTTGATTTCTAACGAGCCGCCTCGTATAAATCACTCAAAATCATTGTGCTACGATTGCGAACCGGGTGACGTTGATCTATACACACAGGCGAGAGAGAGAGAAAGAGACAGACAGACAGACAGACAGACCGAGAGGGAGAGTAAAAAGCGCTTCACACGTGCTTACGCTTGCCAGGTCCGTTAGATAATCGATTTGATGGAGAGGTGATAGTGGGAATAATCGTCTGGGATGTCTCCTCGCGCGGGACTCTATCTCGTATGTTTCTTTTTAGTTTAGAGTTATTATGATCGCGTATTCACGTGAAATCGGTTACGCCACGTTCGCGCGTGCGAACGTATCGAAAAATAAGTACGATCTGCCGTATTGTTGGGATATGGTCGATTCTTTCATTCATGTAATTACTTACCGGTTCGTTGGTGTTCGTTGTTTCACATAGATTGATCTCCAAATTTTTGAACATACAAAAATTGTTATAAATCTAAGCTACACTATTTGATTTTTGCTATATAGAATAAATTATTTTCAATCCATAAGGCCAGACGATACGTAAAATTAATATTAGGTGACGGGAAGAGTTCGAGCGGTTTTTTATTAATATAAATGATAATCATGTCTTGAAGAATATGTGTTTCAATTCTGTTTTAAAAATCCCTTTTCCGACACCTAATACACAAGGAGGAAATTAGAAAATAATGAGACTCACTTCGGAGGGGTTGGTGAGCGCCGTCTTTAGGATCGTTCCGTTGACGAGGTGACCCGAATGCGCAGGGTGGCTCGAGTGACTGGTGGTAGATTGCGAGTTAAGCGGGTCGCCCGACGAAATCTTGTGATGGTGAAGAAAACCACTAGCCAGCTGCGTGTGCTGCTGTTGGCTATGGTGAGCTACCGCGGCCATCTGCTTGACAAGCATCGTCGAACCCATGGTGCTTTTGTTACCACCAAGGGATCCCGACCCGTTAACACCGCCAACGTTACCGCCGCTACTTATGCCACCCATGCTTCCGCCCACTCCGCTCGCTTTGTTACTTTTCTTGTGCTTTTTGTACTTCACCTGTGAAAAGAACGAATAAGATCTAAAATTAACTGTTTACTTTACATTGAACATTAACCCCCCTTGGCAACGTCACGGGGTATAGGAATACCACAATGAAGCTTTAATTCTTTAGATTTAATCTGCATATCTTTATTTTTACTGTTCGTTACAGCATCGCATTGCTTTATCATCGTATACAATTTTAGATTCAAAAAGAAATCGTGCACAAACAAAATTCTGGTTGAAGAAGAATATGGTTAATTGCAATTGGTCCGTTATTAAAGAATATAATAGAGCTGATACGAACCTTGTAAAGATTGTACACAGCACCAGAATTTCTTCCCCCAGGCATTCGATCCTCTCGAACGGCCTGAAGGACCATACCCTGTTCAATGCATTTTTTGAAGCGACAGTATTGACACCTGTTCCTTTGGGCTTTCGTGATTTCGCAGCCGCCTTCCGCCACGCACGTGTACACTCGCCTATTTTGTACAGTCCTTTTGAAGAAACCTTTACACCTGCGCACAACGCAATTTCATACTATTTTAGATTACGAACAAAAACACGTACCTCGCCACAAATAATTGCATTTGCTTAAAACATCGCGTGGCCGGTTGTACAATACACCGAAACCGGTCTGTGGAAATCTGGTTAATTGTGCTTAGGGATGTGAGGTCTAAATTGCGAGAATCTGGATATTGGATTTGTTTTCATTGACACGGTTTTCCTGACCCAATTCGGAATTTTTTCATGAAACTCGTTAACAGAAATTAAAGCTTCCTCTGCTCGGAATAATCGTATTGCACGGTAATCAAAAGCTTTTCCAGTCTGGTCAATGAAAAAAGTGAACGAAATAGAAAGCAACTTACGATTAGTCATTAAGGGGTTTTCGCGAAAGGAATTCAATTCCAAAGTTTACTTTCCGCTTCCTCATGGGAGCGTCCTGATACTAGAAACCGATTAAAGATTCATGGTAGTAGAATTACGGCTACACTGGGATGCACAAGGAAACTTGTCGTCGACTTTTACCAACTAATTTCCCAGATTTGTCGGATACGACGATAGACATTGAATAAACTGGCGTAAAAGCGAGTAACGATACCCTGTGGCAATCTTAAGGACTAATCAACTACGTTGCAAGACACGTTAGACAGAAAAGCACCTTGAAATATACTTTTCTTTCCATCTCAGGCACTTAAAATACCGTGAGATCTCTTTGAAACAACGAGTAATTCTACTTCCAATTATGTTTCATGATTTTCAAATTAAAAACGAAGTTAGCTGTTCATGCGTTCGTGATATCGAATTGCTGAATATCTAAATTAGCATAAGATACTTCTATAAACGACGAACTATTATTTTGCCGTACTCTTCTGTTCTCTGTATGTATATATGCGTATCAACTTCGCCCAGTTACAGTTTACCATTTCGATTGACACCATCTCTGACCAAAGAGCGTATTTACCCAGCAAACATGTGCGTGCATCGATCGCAAATGTCAATCGTTTGTCACGGGCTGGCGGCATATATTTTGTCGGTGAAATATTCGCTTACCCTTCGCATGTGATGATCCCGTAGTGCAAACCAGTAGCCTTGTCCTCGCAGATCATACATATCATAGGTGTTTCGTCCTCCTCGTGGTCCTGGGGCGGCATAGGTGGTGCCGGGGGCGCAACCGACATCGATTGTGACGTCGATTCGGACTTGACGACGCCCCCGTTCCTCTCCCACGTCTGACCGGATCCGGAAGCTGTCAAGTTTAACGCCTGCATCTGCTGCACGGCCGGCAATTGCGTTAGATCGCCGGCCCATAACCTCTCCATGTTGAGGGGTGGGCCGGACGAGTAGGAAACGGAGGGCGGTTTTCCCCGGGACTCCTGTCCGAGGTTTAGGAGCAGCTGAGCGGCCGACTCCTCCGACGAGGAACAAGATGCAGCCGCGGCCGTGGCCGTCCACGAAGCCGCTGGCGGTGGTACGGGATCCATCGGCGGCGCGGACCATATCATCGTCCTTACGCCGCCGATCTCACCCATGATCACGGTGGGAGGTGGCCTGGGGGGTGCAGGCGCGGGCCTTTGAGCCGGTGGTTTCATTGTTTCGCCTGTAATCAGATGTCGATAATGGAACTTTGGCTTACAAAGTCTCAATTTGTATACCAGAAAGATTTCAAAATCTGGTGATCGTTATGATTAGTCTCGCTTATTTATATATAAAATTTAATCATTTTTATGGACATGCTACATTTGGTAGAGAAAGTATTGAATTAAAACCAGAGTGGAAGAAACAGGTTCACTTACACGAGGACGCCGTGCTGGTTGCCCCAGTACTCGTGGAAGTAGCTCCGCCACTTGTGCTGGTGCTCGAACTTGTACTACTACTGGTGGACGCGACCGCGACGTTCTGTCCATAATTAACGGCACTGCTGATGACCCCGTTCAGTAACCTCTGCGTGGCGAACCCTTGCACCCCGTTATTTTGCGACCAAAACTGATGATGAGCTAAAAGGTGTGGCGGCACCGATGGCATCCTCGGTCTTCGTGCCGGCGAAGCCTGCAGTTGTTGCTGCTGCTGCTGCTGCTGTTGTTGCTGTTGCTGCTGCTGCTGTTGCTGTTGTTGCTGTTGTTGTTGTTGTTGTTGCTGCTGCTGCTGCTGTTGATTTCCGTGCGTGGAGCTCGCGCTGGGACTCATGCTCTGGCTGGGGCTGTACTGCGAAGACGGGCTGCTCCGGTGACTAGGTTGACTGGAGGTCTCCGAACGACCTCCGCCACCGCCACCTCCTCCGTCGAAAACCGAGTTGTCCGATTCCACCTTGGTCTGGGCCGATGAGAGGTCACCCTTGTCAGGGCTCTCGCTCCGCGGTATCGCTTCCTGGGGCATGGGGGTTGCGGAAACCGTCTGCATGGGCGAGTAAGGCGACAGCCTCGTCGGCACGGGTGTACCGGACCGTTGCTGTTGATGCTGCTGCTGCTGTTGATGCTGTTGCTGCTGTTGGTGCTGTTGTTGTTGTTGCTGCTGCTGTTGTTCCTCGACGACCCTGTAGCCCGTCATCGAACCGGCATCCGGGAAGACTGAATCGGGAGACGCGCGGTCCGAACAGGCCGTGTCGCGAGCTTCGATCCCGGCTGCCGGCCCGCTTCCGCGAAGTGGATCCCGCGGCGTTCCTGGACTCGGGATGCCTAGCAGATACTCGCTTTTGACTTTGACCACAGGGCAGCCCGGCGAGCCTGGCATGTTAGCTTCCGGCGACAGGGTCGAGGTGTCGGCCATGCTCTCCCCTGGAGCAGGAAAGTTTATGGGTGAAGGTGCGTCCGCCGACTGGATCCCGAGCGGCGAGCCTGCTGATCCAAGGGATACCGGGGAGTCTGAGAAATAAGGCGTTGGTCTCACGTTTATACTCGATGTTACAGTCGTTTGCACATGTTTACCTCGGGAAGGCCGCGGTCACGGGCGATTGATGATGCGCGATTTTCGTCCTGACCGCGTGTCGTGTAGATACGCATGATTATGAGTCGCTCTTTTGTCTTTCGCGATGATCGTGATGATGATGGCGGTGGTAGTGGTGATGATGTGATAACAGAAGCCGAGTATTTTAACTCGTTTCCGATTTCTATGATCGGTTAGTGATAAATACGATGGTGGGAAATCGACATCGATCGTTGAAACACCTAGATGAAATTTGTCTGACAATGTCTGCCGACTTAGCTTACGATGATATTTATCCTTGTTACCGGTAGTCGTAAGCAATTTCTATACGCTAATACTATCCTAATAAAGACGAAAATTAGCTGCATTCCGCGTTGGCACTTCGCAGACTAAAGAGTAAAACTGTATTGTTACTGTTCCCCATTCGGTTAGGCAACGCCGTTTTACCTGACATTAATAACAATTATTGCGATTCGTACGAGATTGTGAAAGTTAAGACGGGCGAGAGATACTCTCTCGCGGTTAAACTATTCGGTTCAATGATCACGTAACTATATCTTGAACCCTGCCGTTCACGTTAATGTGTTCACTCTTTGGTTGATCCAGACGTTATGAAAATGTTATTAATTATCGTGCGCATCAGCATGCCTGGTGGTCTATCACGTTGATTAATAGCACTTATCGCGTTACACTACTAATCGGGCTAACGTTGACAGGTGCATTTCGAAAGAAGTCTGTCGCATTTTGCATGCTCAAAGTCGAACATCAATAACCTTTCACCTTTTGCGTACTGTCTCTTTCGTTAGGCGTTTGCCTCGAAATTTCAAACATTAACTGCGAATGTGCGTCGTGATGATGGAAAACTAAAGTAAACGCAGAGATACACGCGTACAGAAACATCAATTATGTTTTTTAGCATCAGTATAAAAATGTTGGATAAATAACATAGATATTTATTAATCGAGCTTGGTTTCAATCGCTTCTCGCTTCGCATGTATAATTAAGCGAGAGCGTAGTAACTACGTGGCGTGTAGCACTGCTTTGAGATTGTTCAAACTCGAAATCATCGCCCCACCCCTTTCCTCGTAATAGACCTCGAGACATGAGAAGTGTTCGAGATTGCACGTGCGAGCAGCGGCGAGGATACTTCACGAATGAGAGCAATTTACGCGACCGTCGCGAAACTGTAATACTTATTCGAAGTTAGCTCAGGAGATCGTGAAAAGGATGTCGGCTCAACGTTCGCGTAGGTCAAGGAAGGAATGCAGTTGACAAGGCCGCGTTGTGATCGTAGGTATCTAGGTGCTAGTTTCCAGGCTATTAATAACTCGATTACCGTGAATATCGGTTCTCGCGGCGATTATTCATTTACTCTCGCGTCGCCTGCTCTCTTTCGCTGCGTCTTCATCGCATTTAGAATCTTTCTGATCGCGACTGGAATCGATAACCCTTCTCCCGGCCATTCAACCCTATTTCTCAAGCGATTCTGATCACGTGTCATGACGTAACCGTAAGAGAGGAGGTTCATTCATCAGCGATATTAGCGTCGCGAACAAGTCGATGATTAATGCGATGATCGGGGTGGAGATCAATAAAAATCGTTGTTACGACGACGATGATCGTGGATGATGGCTGTACTCCGAATGGGTGAATCGTGAACGATTGGTACTGAAATTCTGTCTGTTTACCGAATATAGGCGAGTAACAGTTCTTCGAATCGTAGTATCGGTGATTGGGCATCGTGTATGGGGCCATTCTGAAGTTATAGCCTAGATCAAAGTAATTCTGATACGATAATATCGTGAAACCGTTGTAAGGATGATACAGATACGGATGCGGGAAATTGTTCTGCGACGCACGTTGAAGCATCCTCAGGTCCATGTTCAACGAGTTCCAGTACTCCGTCCAGTGGAGATTAGGTGCGAAGGACAGGTTGTTTTCCAACGAGGAGTTCATTATTCTTGTATATTATCTATTAACGTCTTCTATATTAACGATATCAAATTGTTCATCCAGCCGTGAGTATACTTCAGTACGTGACGCTGAAAGAGTATTGCAAATTCTTTGTTAAGCTCGTTGTCAGTTCTCTTCGAGGATTGTCTTCGGTAACACAGAGATCGTTGTATTATCTCTTAAAAATTGTACTCGATTCGTATACGTATATTTATTTGTGGTTTTCAGTCTTCTCATGTGTTCACTATTAACGTTTATCTAAAACATCCCCTTTCACAATGGTACGTTAAGTTGTACACAAAGATTGTGTATTCCTTTCCAGTTTATCAAAATGAAGAAAATTTTACGCAATAGGGTATACTTTACAAATTTTTATGCAAAATTGTTGATTAATTAATATACAAACATATTGTCCTGGTGCCACAACTGTATGTTTCTTTAAAAACATTCGAGAGTAAACGTTTCAGTCATTCACTCGTACGAGGATCTGAACGTAAGTGAAATGGTCAGTCATTAGTCAGACGCGCTGAAAAATGGCGATCTTCTTTATTCGCACATGATCTGTTGATCAGCATCGGTAATACAAAAATGGTATTCAAACATATGGAATGGTTGTCAATATTCGATATATTATAAAAAAACTACAATTTTTAGAAAAAGAAACGAAAATGAGGGACGTGTTACGATTTTAACTCCATCGAACGAAATTGCATCATTTCAGTTAGTTCACGTTCACCGAAGATAATTAGAAACCGATTAATTAACGTGTCTCGTTGTGCGTAAAACGCGATCTAATCAGTCTTTTGTTCCCTTCTCCCAAATCAAATATCACCAGTCACGATTAAACATCGATCAAGGAGCAACCGTGTTTCGCGCCTGTCTAATCTTTCCATATTATTGTATTGCACTCTGAGCGATGTGACGCACTGTCGTCACCACGTAATTGCGTCGCAATCCGAGTATGACGTAGCTCGTCGTTGCCCCGGAGTGAAAGATCAATGATTCTCTGAGATGCGGCTCGCAGCCGGAACACGCGTGCCGTCAAAACCAAGCTCATTCATGGGCTCGATCCGTTCGTGACCGGAAGCGGGTGATAAAAAACGGCAAGAACCACGTACATCCGGGAGCATGTGCCGCGAGGATCAAGCAAGCGAAACTGACGGATTCTCTGGGTCGCTCTCACTCGGCCCGGACGATAACAACAATCCAGGTTCACGCTGCTACCTTCGATTCACCTACCCGCCAACGACAGTCTCTGACCTTTAGCCACGGGTAGGTCGGGGGTCATTGGTATCGGTTACGTTTGTTCGAAAAATCAATGCAGCCCACTGCGAACAGCTGGCCGGTAGCTTCTTTCGCCGCTGATAATTAATTTTGTCTCTTCTGTTGTATATTCGTTCGTTCGTTTATTTTCGTTGATTCTCGATGTTCATTGTTCCTTGATTTCTTCGAATAGCCGGCAAACGCGACGACGACGGCGAAGGTTCTCTTCGCGTGCTCGCACGGGTTCAGGCGAAGCCGAACTAGCACCGGTGCACGTCCGGGAAAACCGCGTGGGTTGATATTCAACCCTGCACCGCCGCTAGCAACCGCCACCCCCTCTCTCTGTATCTCTTCCTGGACTTACCTTCCCACTTCCCTCTCGCTGTGCTACGCCGACGACGTTTGAACTACCCCCGCAGTAACTACCCTTTCTCTAACCGATCATTCGATACACATGATAATAAAGCACGTAGTCATGCTTCTCTGCGGCGAGGGTGAATTTGACAGATTATAAAAATTTGCAACAATAGGAACTGCGTTGCATTGGGATCGTACTTGTTGGAATGAAATAGGTGACAAATAAGAGAAATCTTTTTCTTTTTCGAATTACATATTCTAAGTATGTACACATCCTGAGCGTATCATGTCAACTATGAAAGATTAGAGAAAATATAAATTCACGAATTGAAATAAATACGTCTGGTATGAAAATCGTACTGAAACAAGAGCAAGTCCGAAGCCACTACATCTTCAAAATTGCCGAATCGACTCATATTTCCCTGAAATATATATTGAGGTAGAGAAACAGTACTGCGTACCGCAAAATTGCGTAAGCGTCTCGTTTAGTGCGTACGCATAATAACAACACGCGGTTGATGAAAACGAGAGTCGACTATGTTTACATCGCCGCTTAAACAAACACGCATATCTGTTCTGTTGCAAAATTCGCGTCGCGCCTTCCGGTCAGTAGTTGTTGGAAACCGTCTAGGAATTTTTACTTGACCGGATTGTTCGTTGAGTGAGATGACATAGCATAATGTAACTTTGTAGAATCTGTCTCGAGTTAACCGAGAGAAAATTTACCACGCGTATAATGATAGAGTTACGTGTAACTCACGATTCTCAAAGCGGAACAGATGAAGCATGATTCATGCTGTACTGCTCTAGTCGCGTTTTATGTTGCGCGGCATGGCGTGTAGCATACTTATGATACACGCAGCTTATGAAAATCGGGGCAATAAGGGCATCGAATGTGGGATTATGGGCGATAACTAATCATTACGGTTGCGTCGACCGCTTTTCGTGACTCGTTCTCGGTATTCTTAATAAGAAAAGATCGGCCGCTTCCACCGGACAATGATACACGATCCCTCTTCGAAAACAGAGTTACGCGCTTTACGCTTGTTAAATCTCGGCCGCGGTATTGTTTAGTTCGTTTTACAATTACCGATTACCGGCGACAATTAAAGATTTACGACCGCTCTCAATCTCGGGTACCAAACGACTACGTCGTTGCCGCGCTGCGCCGCGTCGGCGAAATCGTTTTTACAATCGTTAAACACGGACATCGAATTCAATGTTGTGGAGACCATTACTGGTGATTTCATTCAGAGACAAGCGCACCCAAGAACTATAATTCACGCGGACTGACCGACTATTCCGAAGCGGAATTTTCAAACCAACGATTTTCTGACAAAAGCTGAACGAGCATGGGAGTATTCTGACGCTGTCATACATTGCGCATACGATCGACGAAACGCTGAGTGCGATTAGGGATGTATTGGCTATACAGTCAATCCCAAAAGTTTATGCACTTTAGAAATGCATTTTTTAAAAAGAAATTAGACGTCGGAAGAACATTGCTAATAATAAACAACAAAAAAATTTTTTCGATTTTTCCGAGATTTTTCCAAGGGGTACCCCTTCAATTTCTTTCAAATTTTCGTTTTTGGCCAATACCTCCCAAACCGTTGGACATACGGAAAAATTGTATAAGACCTTTCTTATAGAGAACGACGAGATCTACAATTTCCATGTAAAAATTTGTCGCTAGCTTCAATAGTTTACGAGTAATTTGCGAAAAACTGTTTTTTCGTTTTTCGTGAATAACTCGTTAAATATTAATGCTAGCGAAAACTTTTTATACACAAATTGTAGATCTCGTCGTTCTCTATAAGAAAGGTTCTATGCAATTTTCCCGTATGAACAAAGGTTTAAGAGTTATTAAGGGAAAACGAAATTTTTTGTCAAAAGTTCGCCATTTCGACGCTGGGATGGTCGGATTTTGTCAACATCAATAAAATGCCAAATAATCATACATAATTCGTTAAATATCGAAGTTAGAAGGAAAACAACTTTTACTTGAAGCATTTTCCGCAATTTTGAAAAAAAAAAATTTTCGTCAGCGTCAATACTTAATTGGATATTTCCTTCTATACTCTTTAGCACGTAGCTATTTATTATTAGCATTATTCTTCCGACGTCTGACTTCTTTTTAATTATAAGAAATGCGTTTTTCTAAGGTACATAAACTTTTGGGATTGACTGTATAGCCAATACATCCTTAAAGCAAAATTAGGAATATGAAAGTTATCGGGAAATGGAAGAAGAGGAATGTTAATAAGTTCAAGTCACGTCGATGAGAAGGGGACATGTGTCGAAATGAGAAACGATTATCTAGGCGAAAGGGGGAAGAAAGAAAATGATTATCTTACCGTCGCTACTACATCGGGAGTCGACCTTCCTCCTTTTCAACTTGAGGTCTTGAAACAAGCTCATGTTGTCTAGCTTACACGGGCTGCTCGTAAGGGTCATAATTCCTAGAAACAAAGTGATAGAGAGAAAATTAGCCATTCGTCGCATCAATTGATAGTGCAGGATGCTACAGCTAACTAGTTTCGTTATGAGTTCAAAGAATTGTACAAATCGAAGCAAAGTTGTTACAGTACGTCTCAGCAGCGTCTGCTGAAATCGAAATACGTCTTCATTAATCATGAAACATCTAGTCACGTTTCTCTTTCCTTTTACAACGGTGATATATAAAACGAATGTACGCCGAAGCTTTCGCGGTGATTAAGTTTCAACGCGAGATTCATGAATAAACCGCGACTCACGTGGCAGTTACTTGCTTGGACGTTTTCTGTGGATCATCTTATTCTTATAACATGCACGGAGTACGATTGTAATCTTACACTTTAGTTTTTTTGCAAAATTCATGTTTATTCACAATTTACGGGGACGCAGTAAGAATTATCATGTCGGCATAAAATCTTCTCATACAGTAGAACAAAATAATAAATTATAATAAGGAACGGTA